CTGAAATGATTACATCCACAATGGCTCAGATGAAGTACAAAATATATTAAAATCAAAAAGCATAATACTTTCAGATGTTACAATGTATTACTACACCTTATCCAGAAGTGCTCCTCTTTAAAGCGCAACGACAAAACACAAAATACAAATTCTCATTCAATACCCTCACTAATCACACACAGGAAACATGTCAACAAGAGAAGTAAATGGGAATAAGCTAGAACCACTAGATGACTCCATACAAACTCATATATAAAATAAAATCATGCATTTATCAAAAAGGCAGACCTACAAAATCAAATTCACAATTACATATTATAACAGACCTAAATGACTTCTTCATAGTAACTTGGTAATTTATTTTTTCCCTTATATGAGAAACAGTAGAGGAACAAATCAAGTGACTACAGTAAATTCTGAACAAACTCAACCCCATTAAATGCAAGTTGAAACAAATTAAAAAAATAGCATTTCTGCTAACTCAGTTAATTAAAACAACTACTACAGGTCATCAAAGAAAGAGAATTGCTTTGCCTTCTCTATTTATTGCCTCTTGTCATTACAAATAATGATAGCGAACAACTACATCTAACAAGCTCAAAAGCACCAACCAGCACTATTGAAACATTAGACAGACAATTTAACTTTTTTATATGACGACTCAAGGAGTCAGGAAGTGAAGCAATAATCACACAACACATCTAATGCCATATTCACATCTACAAAGGAATGTCCTAACACCAAAATTTTTCCCATGCCCTTCAAATACCTATATCACAAGCCCACATGAGACAAGAGGTACACTACATCTTGGCCTCACTAGCCCCTCTTCAGCAAACTATACCTTGATACAGTATATACATTTTTTCAAAGTAAAATTCAGATTTTTTATTTTTATTTCGCACAAAAGTTAGCTTAGCAACCTATCTAACCTTACTACAATTAACAAAGTACTAAACATAAAATTTAGCTTATTCATATCCATCCTAGTTTAGGTCAGCCCAAATTTAATTATTAAATATCACAGTATATCCAGCTAGGATATGAAGCCTCATAACAAAATAGAAATGAAAGGATGACATTTAGAGTGTGCAAATTGCATTTTTAGTCAGAATTGGCAAACTTTATTTATAAAGCACAACAAGCTGTGTATATTTTTATTTTGTTATAACTCGGCTAACTTCTAACTAAATTTAGGCTGATCTTAGATAGGTTGTGTAGGATTAATCTATGCTATATGAATGTTAACATGGTTATGTTAAGTTGCCAAGTTAATTTTTGGTACAAAACAGAAGGTACTCTTCTTACCTTTAATTTTTTTCCTCCATGTAGGTTTCTTTATTTATCTGAAAGAATTGCATACAAAAAAATCACATCCTAAAATGCAAACTGCACCTACCTTAGTTTAGCACCAATTTCACTTTTAAACTTGCTTGGCCCTAATGCTCTCAACATTAAACCGTGATGTGCAAGGAAACTTTGCCCTTACAAAACTTACCTATCCATTACAGGAACCTTGACCCTAAAAAAATTGGTGCGCCAACATACGGCCAAAAGATTTAAACTTGCCTTGGTCAGGACGGTTCATTATCATATGCATAGTGAGGCAGGCTTTATCATGGGCAGTACAAATGGGCCGCTTAGGGCAATCAACCACGAACCCTTCGCTAGGGGAAACAAATGGGGGAAGAAAGCAAAAAGACAGGATGAGTATAATTGAATTCCAAATGGATGGCTATACACTTCTTAATCAGTTATGAAGAATGTTATTTGTTTTCCCCTCTCGAAACTGAGGCCCACGAGTATTTCCCTGTAAAATTCTGAAAGAGATCCCTGAAAGAAAACCCTGGAAAAGTTCTGAAAAAGAACTCTGAAAGGCAACTCTGGAAAAGGACAACACAATTGCATAATTTGTCCACAAACAAAATTTCAAATGGCTTTAAAAGGACTTATTTAACTGGGCTTTCTTGTGTAAATTTTGTTCAGATGGGCTTTTTCACTAAATCTCACAAATTTCTTTGATATATATAACTAATGTATAGGCAATTAAAAAACAGGATAAAAAAGCCAATAATGAAATGTTTAAAGCATTCAAAACTGAGCTTTAGAACAAAAACAGAGCCTTATCGCTGCTGTGACAGTAATACGATATGTGATGTCAACTTAAGACATAGCTCCGATGCATCCACTTCCTTTAAGATGATAATTGGCATGAAGACGCTGCCCGCTGCATCTAACCTGTCATTACCTGTGAGAGCCTGCAAGAGATGTGCCAGTACACACCCATCCTCACTTCATGTGAACCAACCTGACCCTCAAATTTTATCCAAATCTGTAGCTCAAATACCGAGTTACCGTATTCTCACCAAATGAAAATATTCCTAGTCAGGGCTCGAAAGCAAATACCACCTGCCATCAAGAGGCAAACAGTTAAAAGAACTGGTTTGTGTTCAACCTAATACTATACACTGGATACAATACACAAAACCCGCACATCTAATTTAGATCTAATTTAGATCATTAGCTCGTCACACAGAAGTGTGAAGGGAAGAGAACCAGAATATATACTGTGGCGGGGTTGCAGGGATGGGAGTAGTATAATGAAACGAGAGAAGGTAATAGTGTTAGTCGTAGTGGTGGCAGCAGAAGAAAAAGTAGTGCAACAGCAGTAGAGGTGGCAATAAGTTAGTAGTGGTAGTGAAACAGGGGCTAGAGATTTAGAAGAGAGAGAGCAATACAAGTAATAGTCGAGGTAGTCTAAGAACAAAAAAAGAGAAGAGAAACACACGGGTAGGACCATATACCAGTGGGACAAAACCCCATGGGACAGAACCCACTTGGGGAGAAGATATAGGACAGGAGAAGAGGTAAGGAGAGATCATAAAAATCAGGTCAAGGCATGAGTGTTCTGAAGTTTGGAGCATTTTGACAATGTAATGAGAAAGGAAGGTATTTACAGACACAAAATCAGGACTAAGACTGATATTAGGAAAGTTGTATATAAGGGATGCTTCAACAAGATGGTATCTGTGAAGGCTAGAAGGGTAGACAGTTTTGGCAGAGGACCAAGTAATAGGATGACAGTAATCTCAAACATGACTCAAAAGAGCATTATTGGTATCAGTAAAATTAACACTTCTTTTGTGTTCTTCGTCTGTTAAAAAGAGGGTGGCCAGTTTCTCCAAAGTATTGGAGAGGACAAAAGGAGCAGAAAATGGAGTAGACTCCTGAAGCATTGGTGGCAGGAGGGCAGCTATGCACTAGATTAATACAAAAAAATAAATTCGAAGTCTAAGGAATGGAGGGGGGAAGGTGTTAAGATTTGGGAGAATGGAAACATAAGGCAAAGAACAAGATATTTCACAGGATTAAAGATTTTTCAAGAGAAGAACGTCCATTTAACACAAGAGTACAAAGAGTTTATGAAATCGGAAGAGTAGACAAGGTGAAAGAATGAATTACAAAGGGTGGAAATTTCCAAATCAAGAAACAGAATCACAGACAAAGGGCACAAAGAAAGAGAAACAAGAACACTTTTCTTGACAAAGAATAAAAAGTCACAATACCATGACTGGAAGAATACACAATCCACATAGGAGAATGAAACTACGTCATCATAGTTTCATTCTCCTACATGTAGATTATGTGTTTATTTTCTTGACAGAGGGGCACATAAGAAAAGTAGTGAATGTATATGCTCCCTCTGCAAGATAGGTTTATTTCTCTTTTCCGTGCCCTTCATATCTGTGACCCCTCATTTTCTAGATTCAGATATTTCCACCCTTTGACTTCCCTTTCGCTTTCATAAACGTTCTACTCACATGCTAAACAGACTTTCTTCTCTTCCAAATTGCCTTCCCTATATTTCCAGTTTGCCAAATCTTCCCTTTGCACTTCTGTGTGACTAGTTAACCCCTTTGACTGTTTTGGTCGTATATATACGTCTTACGAGCCAGCGTTTCAGACGTATATATACTCAATACAGTGGACCCCCAGTTAATGATATTTTTTCATTCCAGAAATATGTTCAGGTGCCAGTACTGACCGAATTTGTTTCCATAAGGAATATTGTGAAGTAGATTAGTCCATTTCAGACCCCCAAACATACACGTACAAACGCACTTACATAAATACACTTACATAATTGGTCGCATTGGGAGGTGATCGTTAAGCGGGGGTCCACTGTAATTCTAGCAGCATCAAATCAAGCAGGAGAAAGCTGGTAGGCCCACATGTGAGAGAATGGGTCTGTGCAGTCAGTGTGCACCACATAAAAAAAAATCCTGCAGCAGGCAGTGCATGAGAAAAAAAAAAAAAAAAAAAGACTTTTTTTGGATTAAAACGCCGACTTTGAGGTGTATTTTCGTATAGTATTTATCGTTGTATTCTCGTTTGCATGGTCTCGCGTAATAAAATGGAAAACATATTGCAGAAATAGAGATGATTTTGATTAGTTTCACGGTGAAAATGACCTTGAAATTGAGCTCAAAGTATCGGAAATGTTCGATTTTTACCAATGTTCAAGAGTAAGCAAATCACACCACACATCCAATACACTTCAACTGGGGAGTCTAATACTCTTTCATTAGTGCACTGATATTATTTATACCATTTTTACAATAATGCAGTAGTTTGCATAACAGTAAATTTTGTATTTTTTGTATGAATAAAAAATCAAAATAGAAAGCAATTGTAATATAAGAGGGGCCTAGAGACATGACTTATAAACAAACGATATGTTATTTTACAGGTAGTAGGTTGGTAGACAGCAACCACCCAGGGAGGTACTACCGTCCTGCCAAGTGAGTGTAAAACGAAAGCCTGTGATTGTTTTACATGATGGTAGGATTGCTGATGTCTTTTGTCTGTCTCATAAATATGCAAGATTACAGGTATGTCTTGCTACTTCTACTTACACTTAGGTCACACTACACATACATGTACACATTTATTTATACACACTCATCTGAGTTTTCTTTGATTTTATCTTAATAGTTCTT